GTCCTCGGGCGGTGGGTTGTGTCCACACGGGTCTAGTGGTCCGAGGAGAAGGAGGGGGCGGTGGGTCGGGCTGCGAGCGCCGCTCAAACACAGCAGTAGATAAACCGGGGCACGTAGCCATGTCCAGGAGACCGGGACTGCCGAAGGGGTGCCGGACGCCGAGGTTTGTCGGGGGCTCCCGGCAGAGGCGCAGCCACCTGTTCTCTGGAACCCCGCGTGCGGGAGCTGGCTGGGGACAGCGCTCGCCCCGTCTCAGCCAGAGCCGCGCTGCCTGCCAGGGCCAGCCGCGGGCGCCCGCGCTCAGCCCGCTGGCCACGGCCCATCTCTCCCGGCCCAGGCGCGACCAACGCTGAGCGGCAGGAGGCTGCGCAGGAGCCCTGGACAATAGCGTGGCCACGCGGCCTTATGTCCACGCAGAAGGGACATGTGCGACGCTGCAAAGCACTGCATGGACGCCGGCGAGAGCGGGCGTGGAGGCAGCGGCCACTCTGAGTCTCGGGTGGATGAGCCCCGCCAGGAAGGCGGCCGCGCGCCATTCCTGGGGAGACCCGGGCTCCGCCCAAGGCCCCTGGTGCCGCGTGCAGGGCCCCCGCTCTGTTCAGCAGCAGACTGGCCGGCGCCCACGGCCCCGCAACCGCAGACCGGATCAGCGTCCGGAAGCCGGCCCAGCCAGCGCCTCGCGGCTCGTGTCTGCCCAGGGGGTGCTGGACTCTTCCCGAGCCCTCTGTCCGCGGGGCCGAGGCCCGCCCCTCGTAGACCGCTGCCGCCTGCCCTGCACGGCAGTGACGGTGCTGGCCGGTGCAAGGCGCCTGTGGCCGCTCCGCCCTCAAGGACGGCTGGGAGACGCCTGCCCAGCTGAGTGAAGGGGCCTTTCTAGAAGACGCTGACGGATCAGGTTTTGGGTGACACAATCTGCGGGCGCCCCGTTGCTCGGAGTGAGACGAGCGCTTGCAGGGCCGCGCCGGAGACTCGCCCCGGCCAGGACAGACAGCCGCGCCCCGCCTGTTGGGGACTAGGGGCCGAGGGCGTGGGGCTGACCTGCCTGGGAGGTGGCCCGCACAGGTGGCCAGGGCCGCGAGGCAGGGCGGTGCGGGCTGGGCGCAGTCACCGGGTGTCACCACGTGGCCAGGCGGTGACACAGTGCTGCTGCAAGTGAGAGCACGGGTGTTTGTGAGCACGTGTCCGTGGGACACGGCCGTGGTGTGGAGCCGGAGGGCGGGG